TTTTGGGGATTTCCCCCCGGACGGGGATTTGAGCCCCCAAAAGCCGGACATGTCCGGGAAAATCCGGACGTATGGTAACCCTACCAAACTATTATTTGTCTGGGAAATTAGGATTAAGAGCCTTGCCCATCAGAAAAGTTCCAAGACATTTTTAGTGACTTCTAGTGGTCAGCATCTTGATTTCACATCTCATTTGGAAGACAGAGTAGCAGAGTGCCCCAAGCACCAGAGTGCTGGAGTATTAGTTCAATACTCAGATAAATCAGCAACAGCACTGGCTGCAGCACTTGTATCAGATGCATGTTGGAGATCTCCAACTCAAATACTGAACTGACCTAACCCTGCTTAGCTTGTGAAATCTGACTTGAATGCAGAACAAGCTGCTGTGGTTGCAAGCTATGAAGGGGAAAGTAGGTGTTTCTCCATGGTCATGTTTCTTTTCAGTAGTAACACTAATGTTGAATTAAATTCTTTCTATATGGATTTAAGTGAATGAAAGGGGAGTGTGGAAATCTTACTACTTTAAATGAAAAAAATACTGAGCAATGTATAGAACCCTGGATCATAGCAGCCCTAATGTGCCCAAGATACAAATTCTCAAAAATAAATCAAAATGGATCTAAATGTGTTTTTTGATTAAAGAAGTTTGTGTACTGCATGCATGTGGGATGGAAGAAACCAGTGTTGGCAGCTAAGTGTTGAATAACAAATCCACCCACCATCCAAGGCTAAATGACTTGGAGACTTACTGTCTCTAACACCCCTGAAAAAAACCTAGAGATCGGGAGGCTTACAGAACGGTTTGAATGTATCTGGAATTTATTTATCAACTTTGTGAAAAACTTTTCCCATTCCAAACATTTCATAAAGTATGTATTACCATTTTCAAAAACACTTTCACATCTTATTAAAATACCTCAATATGTATGTATGCCTGAACGTGCAACATATTGGGAGATTTATGATTATTGTTGTTTGATAAACTCAACTGTCCCATCTGTATTTCTAAATGATAATAGTATGGGCCATACTTTTCAAAAAGGAGGCCTGCAAAAAATGTGTGCTCAACTGTGTGCACACTTTTGCATATGCAGTTTCCAAAACTCTACTCAGGAAACTATCCATTTGCATACACAATCAGCTAGCCTCTGTATGCAACCATAAAAATTGTACATATACAAATGAAGGTATGCACCTGAGAGCACAGGTCTTCCTTTAAAAAAATGTTGCTATATTATGTCCGTTGCTTTTCTTGTTGTCTGTTACTCACTTAAACTTAACCATTTTTTAAAAAAGAAAGTATATCCAGCTAAATGTAATGGCTATTAAAGATTTTAGATTGTCTATATGCAAATCAAAATGCTTCTTCAATCCTATAAGTGGTATTTACTAGGGCAGTAGATTAATTTTTTTTTAGTTAATCGCAGGCTGGAGATGTGCTAGTGCTGAGTGTTACGCATAGGGCCTGAATTACCTTGCTGAAGACTATTTGCTCACCATGGAGAGGATGTATGGCAGCATCCCATGATTCCATCATTTTAATAAATCCAGGGTTGTGAGTTCAATCCTTGAGGGGGCAGTTTAGGGATCGGGGGCAAAAATCTGGGGATTGGTCCTGCTTTGAGCAGGGGGTTGGACTAGATGACCTCCTGAGGTCCCTTCCAACCCTGATATTCTATGATTCTATGAGTTAACTGCGATTAATCACAGTTTTAATTGCACTGTTAAACAACATTCAGGCGGGCGGGCAGGCAGGCAGGCAGGCATATTGAGGGGGAATGGGATAGCTCAATGGTTTGAGCATTAGCCTGTTAAACCCAGGGTTGTGAGTTCAATCCTTGAGCAGGTCACTTAGGGATCTGGGGCAAAATCATTACTTGGCCGTGCTAGTGAAGGCAGGGGGCTGGACTTGATGACCTTTCAGGGTCCCTTCCAGTTCTATGAGATAAGTATATCTCCATATATTTAAAAAAAAACCAGAATGCAAGTTGAAATTTATTAAATATTTTTGAATGTTTTTCTACATTTTCAAATATATTGATTTCAATTAAACACAGAATATGAAGTGTACACTGCTCACTTTATATTATTATTTCTGTTACAAATATTTGCACTGTAAAAATGATAAACAAAAGAAATAGTATTTTTCAATTCACCTCATACACTTGTACTTTAGTGCAATCGCTTTATAGTGAAAAGGTAACTTACGAATGTAGATTTTTTTTGTTACATAACTGCACTCAAAAACAAAACTTTAGTGCCTGCAAGTCCACTCAGTCCTACTTCTTGTTCAGCCAATCGCTAAGACAAACAAGTTTGTTTACATTTGCAACAGATACTGCTGCCTGCTTCTTACTTACAACGTCACCTGAAAGTGAGAAAGGCATTCGCATGGGACTTCTGAAGCCGGCACTGAAAGGTATTTATGTGACAGATATGCTAACCATTTGTATGCCCCTTCATGCTTCAGCCACAATTCCAGATGACATGCTTCCATGCTGATGATGCTCGTTAAAAAAATAATGGGTTAATTAAATTTGTGACTGAACTCCTTGGAGGAGAATTGTATGTCTCCAGTTCTGCTTTACTCGCATTCTGCCATATATTTCATGTTATAGCAGGCTCGGATGATGATCCAGTGTATGTTCGTTTTAAGAACACTTTCACAGTAGATTTGACATAACACAAAAAAGGTACCAATGTGAGATTTCTAAAAATAGCTACAGCACTTGACCCAAGGTTTAAGAATCTGAAGTGCCTTCCAAAATCTGAGAGGGACGAGGTGTGGAGCATGCTTTCAGAAGTCTTAAAAGAGCAACACTACAGAAACAGAAACTACAGAATCCGAACCACCGAAAAAGAAAATCAACCTTCTGCTGGCGGCATCTGACTCAGATGATGAAAATGAACCTACGTCACTCTGCTCTGCTTTGGATCGTTATCGAGCAGAACCCATTATCAGCATGGATACATATCCTCTAGAATGGTGGTTGAAGCATGAAGGGACATATGAATCTTTAGCACATCTGGCACATAAATATCTTGCGATGCCAGCTACAACATGCCATGCAATCTCATCTCCTGTTCTCACTTTCAAGTAACATTGTAAACAAGAAGCGGGCAGCATTATCTCCTGCAAAGTGTAACCAAACTTGTTTGTCTGAGCGATTGGCTGAAGTAGAACTGAGTGGACTTGTAGGCTCTACAGTTTTGCATTTTTATTTTTGAATGCAGTTATTCTTTGTACATAATTCTACATTTGTAAGTTCAACTTTCATGATAAAGAGATTGCACTACGGTACTTGTATTAGGTGAATTGAAAAATACTATTTCTTTTGTTTTTTACAGTGCAAATATTTGTAAACAAAAATAAATATAAAGTAAGCACTATACACTTTGTACTCTGCGTTGAAATTGAAATCAATATATTTAGAAATGTAGAAACCATCCGAAAATATTGAAATATATGGTATTCTATTATTGTTTAACAGCGCAATTAATCGTGATTACTTTTTTTAATCGCGCGATTAATCACGATTAATTTGAAAATACTGACCATTGGCATCTGCAAAGAGAGCTCAGTACTAACCCTGGGAAATGAGCTCGGTGCAGTCACGCATGGCACCACCTTACATTTGCTTTTCCCTTCACGCTGTGCATGGAGGCTGTGATGAAGAAGTGCAGCAAAAAACAAAGGGAAGACAGCACTCAGACCATAGCTTGCACAACTCTAAGCAGGCAGGCAGTAGTGAGCACTGGGAGCCACTGCTCTGGTCCCAAAAGAAGTGGAAATAAAGATCTTTCCTGGACAGTTGGCACCAAACTGAGATCATCAACTCATTTCACATTGTTCACCCAGCAGCTACGATATGGGTAACAATCCTCAGTCACTACCAGCCTCCCTAAACTGAACTGGCAACCTCAAACCAAAAGTCTATATCCTGTTATCAATGCCTTCAGCAGTCTGTGGGCTGATCTGCCAAATATTTAGCTGTAGATTGATTGAAACTAAGCCAGTTAGTGAGCTGTGTGAAGTTTATACCTGAAAAAAACAGATGCCAATATATTCCAGTGGATGAGGTACCAGATGAGAAGTTAGAACACATAAGTACTCACACCAGCTGCATGGCCTCCGGCAGGTCACTTGGCCTCCCTGTACCTTAATTTCCCTCTCTGTAAAATGGAGATAATAATGTGCACCCATTTTTGTAAACTACTTTCTGGCACTTTGCTAGCATCATTTTGTACAACACATGATTAAGAATATATATACTGCACCTTCTTGAAGTTGTGCTGGTTCTGCTGAATTTTCACCACTCATTAAGACAACAAAGCAAGAAGCTGTTCGGACTGTGGTTTGCCATGTTGACATGGCAACCGGTGGCTCCTGACATGGAAAAAGGGCCCTGTTGTTTATTGGAGACCCCATCGTATAAACACATGGCCTATAGGAAGGGGGAAAAGACAAAAACAAGAGTGACATCACTGTTATTCTAAAACATGAAATAGTGAAGACTGAGTAGAACTTGCCATTATAAAAAGAAATTCAAACTTACTTACTGGTTTTCAAGATCTCATTATCGGTTTCAACCAGGGCTTTGGAGCTGTGCTCCGGCTCCGCTCCAGCTCCAGGCAAAAACCTGCAGCTCTATGATCCGGAGCTGCTCCGCGCTTCAGCTCCAGGCTCCGCTCCAAAGCCCTGGTTTTCAACCTAACATTATATGAACCAAGATACCAAACCTTGAAGTTTTGCTGTTATCCATCCTAACAGATTAATTTATAAGAGGCAACAGAGAAAAAAAATGGCATAGACATTCCCATCCTTTCTGCTCCCTTGCTCATGCCATGACCTTTGGACCTCAGGCAATAATTCTCCAGCCACTGGGAATTGTGAACCCAAGTGACCAATATGAGTATTTTAGAATGAATACACTGTTGCCAACTCTCGCTATTTTATCATGAGTCTCACAATCCCTGGTGTTTTTCTTTAAGCACCAACTACTAGAATCAAATAACTATGTGACAATCTCGGTTTTCAACTACAAAAAAAATAAAAAGTACATTTACAAACCTCATAATTGCAGAGAAAAGCTTGAAAATGTGATCGAAGTGTGCACTAAACTAAAGTGTTCTAGAAATAAAAGAACCCATGTTTTTTAAATCTCATGCTTTTTAAGCAAATCTCATCGCTTTGGAGGCCTAACACGTAATTTTTGAATGCTTGAGACTGGCAATATCGGAGTCAGCTATCTATGTCATAATTTGAAAAGTGACCAAATCCCGTAGAAAGGTGGCTGTTAGTTTGCAAGGATGCAGCATCTTTTGCAGTGGCCACTGTAGTACCTCAATACACTGAATTTCATTAATTGAATTCTTTCCCAAAAGCCAAGCCCTTACTGCACAGAGGGAGTGAACAGAAACTGTCAGATGTGTGGTAGTATAGATGAAAGATTTTCTGAGGCTACCACTGGTCTTTTTGTCAAATGTGTGGTGTTTCTTTTTGAAGGACATAAGGCCTACTAGATCCTGAGTTACTAAGGGATCTAACCTAAGGGAACAAACCCCAAAGTGAATTATTCAGGAAGTTTTTACAGCCTACTGGCCTTTTACTCCCATTTTCTTCTAACGTTTGGGGCAGCAGCAGACCCACTCTTTGTCCTACATTTCTAGGGGGCACAGTCACTAGCCCTAATCCCCTAATCCACAATCACCCTCCAGAAACATCAGGCGCACATGAGGATAAAAGGCAAGTAGGCTTTACAAACTTCCTCAAATTCACATCACTCTGGGGTGAATCGCTGAAGGTTACATCCCTTGGCAACCAGGCATCCACTAGAAAACAATGGGTCTCTGCCACAGAAAAAGGAACAGTGCACAACAATGGGAGCAAGAACGTTTTAGATGAGAAAGAGAGGTGTGGTGGAAAAGTAGGCAGGTCACTTACTCCCTAGAATATACCCTTTGCAACCTAAAAATCTAGGAAGGAAATAGAAGACTAGCTAGTAGCCCTATAGCATCTGTGGGCAAAGGGGAAAGAGAAGGAGTAGAGGATGGTTCCTGGTACATGGAAACCACACAAAAACCACAGGATTGTAGGAGGAGAGCCCAGGTACTCCAGGAAATAATTCCTATGAGAAAGGTGATGCTGATATTCAGATTTTTAGCCAGAGCCTTGGCCCCGCTAAGACTGTTTTGCTCTGCTCCAATGGTCTAAACCAGCCTCAAACCTGGCCTTGGAGGATTTCCCAGCATGAGGAACTCCTTGAGTGGTATAGCACCACTGTAGTGGCTTCTCTGCAAACACACACTCTCAACCTCTTGCAAAAAGAAGGTCAGGGGGTGCCTACCTGCTGGCAAATCCCAGCTACCAAAACAGCCGCTTAGGCCCACAGGTAGTCAGCATAACATGTGTGTTCCTATATGGTGGTGAACCCCAGCTGCTGAAAAACCCCTTGGGCCCACAGGCAATTGGCATAACATACAGCAGTTGAAAGCTACTATCCTTTACGCTGGGGTACCAGACTGGCACCCAGCAGCTTAAAGCCTGGGATCTTACCCCCACTTTTGTGCCACACATACGCATAGGCTGTACTGAGAACACAAAGCCTAGACCCCAGAATCTGGCCCTATACTCATATTCCAAATGTCCAAATGTCACACAGATATTAGGACATCTGAATTCCAGTATCATCTGAATATCAGCCTATTCTCTACTCGTTAATATACGGAGCTCTGTAATTTGGTACATTTACATTATTATTATTATTATTATTATTAATTAACATATTAGGTTGGTGCTCAGAGATCCCAACCAAAATTGGGGCCCCATTGTGCCCCTAGGCATGGTAAAAACACATAGTAAGAGTCAATCTCTGCACCAAAGAGCTTATAATCTAAATACACAAAACAAACAAAGGATGGGAGAAAAAAAATAGAGGGACAGAGAAGTAAAGTGGCTTGTACAAGGTCAAACAGCAGGTCAGTGGTAGAACTGGGATTAGAACCTAATCTCCAGGCTCCCAGTCCTGTGCTACTAATATGGAAAATAAATACAAAATAGCATATTGTGCATGTGCAGTTTCTAATTTTCAAATACCTTTACCTTCATTTTTAAAGTATTTTATATATTAAATTGGCACATAAATATAGTGATAATTACATACAATTATATCCCACATACAAAGGAAAGTCGAAAAGTTAGAGAATTGTTATAATATTTGGTAAATCCAGGGTTTCCATTTTTTCCATAGCTTTTTTTATGCTATTTTTGTTCAGATATACTCAGAGCTGTCCCTTGGGTAGGGCGAATCGGGGGCAACTGCCTCGGGCCCTGCACTTTGGGGGGCCCTGCACTTCGATAAAATTGGGACTGTTCCAATATTTAGCCCTTTGTCCCACGTCCCAGCTGATGTATGATCGGGACGTGATTTGTCCCAATATTCAGGTGAGGAGATGAGTGGCAAGGTGAGGTGGGAAGCGAGCGGGGTGAGGAGGCGAATGGGGAGGCGAGCGCCAGGTGGGAGGGGAGTGAGGCACGCGGGCGGATGGATGGCGAGGAGGCGGAGAGCAGTGGTCGGGCGGACAGGGGGTGCACACCGGACGGACGGCAAGGAGACTAGTGGGGAGGCTGATTTGTCCCGGGCCCCACACCACCCATGGATGGCCCAGGATATACTGATTTACTTATCATTCCTAAACCAAACTTCTTCAGATATGTCAAAGTCTGCCATGAAAATAGCAACAGATCATACAGAGCCCTATTAAAATTTGAGCAGGAACGTCAGAACAACAATTACATCAGCTTCTAGTTAGATATTCATATATTCATGACATGATCACCTGGAGATTAGCTGATTGACAGGTTGGCACTAGCTGAAGTGTCAACTAACACTGAACTGTCTCATTCTGTCAGAGAGGGAAGAGTTTAGAAGATTTGCAAAAAGGAAAACTTTGCCATGATTTACTCAAAAATATTTTTTCTTCTTTCAATGAAATTTTTAACTTGTTTGTTCCACATTTTTTGAAAAACAAAATCAAACATTATTGGGTTCCTTCTATTCCTCTGAATCACGTATTACTTTCTTTGCTATTTATTTTTCCATACTTAATATACACTAGAGACGTGTTAAAATGTCAGCAGTGCGATGGTGCTACACAATTACAGCGTATCTTGAAGTTGGCAGTATTCCCCACTTTAGGTCAGGGCTGCTCAATACCAGCAGATGAGTGGACCAGAAATACAGAATTTCGACCTGAAATGATGGTTTTGCACTTCCCTTACAGCATCAGGGAACTGCTATCTACACAGAATATGTCACATAGTGTCTATGTTAAATAACATCAGTTCCAGACGGCTATTATCAGACACCGATTTTTTTTAATTACCATTACCACAGCTAGTGAGAGACATGGCAATTCTCCTCCTTTCTATCCTCCTCCCCAGCTCACCATCCTCTCTGTATCTCTCTCCTTCCTCTCTTAGCATAGTGTCTTCTCCCTCTTAGAGTTCTCGTAGCCATAACATTTTCAAGTCACCCCCACACTTGGCCACTCTTTTTCTTCATAATTCCTTACATGGGTGGCCTCAGACATTTATATAGAGGGGGAGTTAGAGAACAGAAGAGAGATAAGCAGTTAGGCAGTCCAGTTCTCTGTGGCTCCTACCGTGGTGTTTCCACAGAGACAGAGTCTCTATGGAAAGACAGGTGCCTAAAGGTCCCAGCAAAATGTAAAGGGCCTAAGGTTTGAAAAGGAGATAATAAAATAAATATGTATTGGGTGACCCACAATGGCCAACTTTATGATTGCTAGAGCTTCAAGCTGCTATGTGTTTGGAGAGCTTGGAATATAGGACGTGAGCTGCAACCCACTCGATTCTGCTTCCAGAAGTGAGTGAGCGGTGGCGATTGTGGTGGGAATCAGTCTGAGAGTTGCTTAGACTCTGGGATTCTATCCAGTCACTAATCTTGCTTGTGTGCAAGGCTACCCTGATAATTGCATTCCCTTTTTTGCGGTAATGAGTGGGAAATTATTCTAGCTAGAGATGTCCAAAAAGTGAAAACCTATTTTCATGAAAAAATTTCTGACGTTGTTTTAGTTTCAAAGTGGTTAAAAAATGAAAAATGGGTCAATTTCAAAATATTTTTCAATATTTTTATGTCCCCAATATTTGCATAGAAAACATTATCAAAAATATTACCAAAATACTAAAACCTAATATTACCTAAAACCCTCAGCACAGTATCAGATCAAGTAAAATTATATTAGAGAACTTTCTAATCTAATTTGTTCCTTCTTCCTCTCCCCAACTCCATCTTATCTCTTCCTCTTCCCCTTCTTTCTTTGGGAACAAACAGCTGAGTGGCTGAACGCGTCTCCCTTTTCAGAAAATCCACAATGGGCAGATCCAGACAATGAACACTTAGCTAGATTAGATAGATTTGAAGACAGCAACCTACCCAATAAGCAACTGCCAGATATGCTGCGCACTGCCTCCATATAAAGACCTCTCAACAGTCCTGGGTTCTGTGGGACCAACTCGCTTTGACCTACAAAATACCCTGACCCAGTTGAAGCCACTCTTGTCCTGCAGGCCTGACTGGGCTCAGCTCCTCAACCCAGGCCTTGAAACCTGGCCCCTGGCACACACAGTTGCAGCTCCACTCAAATCTGGCTTGGCAACCCACGACTCCCCCACACCAGGGGGACTGGGCCAAACCTGAGTGGCATTACGACCAGCGCACCAGGGGCCAAGCCCAGTCAGCCCATGGGACAGGAGCCACAACGCTGCCTCTGTGGGGTAAATGCAGGGAAGGCTCGCTTTGAAACCACAACTCTGGTGCCTCCTTTCCCCCCACCCCCACCCCACTTTATTAACTTTAAATGTTAGGAGGTATGTAATGTTTTACCTTGGAACCCTGATGATAATGTCACATGTCTAATCAGTCAGAAACTACTTCTTGACTATTTAATAATAATAATAATAAATGCTGAAATATGTTACTTACAAGTATCTACAATATTAAAATTAGGAGTGGAGCAGACACCTTTGGCTGGAAATGCCAGCAGAGCAGAAGATAGTCATGGGCCTTTGTCTGCAGCTTCCACAAGACCAGAGGTCTTGGCTGCAGTCATGAAAAGAAACAGAATGTCTTTTCTGTTTTCATATTTCCTAATAAATGTTCAAGAAACCCAAGTGTTTTAGTTATCCCTGTGCTGAAAAATCCAGACAGACTTTAAAGTTAATTTGATGAAAAATTCAGACACTTTCAAAGGAACAGAAATATGTTTGCAAACACATCACAAGCTGAACCCAAAAGACGAGATGGACAAGATGTATCTAGAATTGACGGACTCACAATGTTCCAATGCATATTTCTTGAGAGAAGCTTACTGAATTTCTTTATGTGCCAGTATGCTTGACAAACAACAGATATCACAGTTACATAAGAGGGCTGATATTTGGAAACATCCTCTTTGGAAATACCAGCCAGCAGTTCTTTTCCGTTATGAATCTGAACAACTGCAACAACCAACTTAACAATCTACCTGCATCGCATAATGTTTGTGTCTTTAAAGCCTTCCATTGCAAAGAAGCAGTTCTACTCTTTGGCTTTAGCCCCAGGCCCCAGCAAGTCTAAGCCAATCCTGGGATTGCGACCCACTTTGGGGTCCTGACCCACAGTCTGAGAACCCCTGTTCTAGAGATTATGCTGAATATCCTTGTTTTATTTTAAAAGGTCATTATAGACAGAGAACTGACTAAAATGCTATCATTTGACTCAGCAAATATGTTACTTGTATGTATTCAGAGTCCTGTTTGCTCCTTTATTATGAAAAGGAAGGTTCTTTTATTGCTAGAACAGCTCTGAGAAAGTAAGGTGAATTCTGCTGTAGGTATATGTCAACCAACTTGTAAAATAAATTCCAACTGCAATTTCTTTATTAGAGTGGATGATGAGTAAAGGCAGAAGGAACCTGTGTGGACTTTCACACTCCAAGTTGCAAAGCTGGCAGCTGTGAAAATCATAAACTGAGTATATTTAATATAGAATAATTTACTTAAACAATAAGCCTGGAATCCTAAAATGACATTTTGATAGGTCCTAAATCTACAAAATACTTGAGCATAATGTTAAGTGCGTGAGTAGTCTCACTGACTTCAGCGGGGCTACTCACATCCTCAACGTTTGGGAGACCTCACTGAATTGGGACCCTGGTCACCTTTCCCACACTTCAAGAGATTTTTTGTTTTATACATACTTTTATCTTAATAAGGATACTGTTGCAGGCTTCTAGGAAAAGGCAAGAACAAAAAAAGGCAAGCCTGCTTCTCTTTTTTGCCTCATAATTTATTGCTCTTGTAGTAAGCCTCGAAAAGGCATCTGTTTTTAACATATAAACCCAATGTCCTGGGGCTGGATGGAAGCTCCTACTGTGAGCATTAATGCATTTTCTAGTATCAAAGGGTTAAACAGTGAATCACTGAAATTCCATGCGTTCAGGCCTTGCTTTGGAAAAAAGGAATGCAACCCATTATGGCCGTATTTAATTTCCTTACGCAAATACTCATCTGAATCCAGTCCACTAATCCTAATCACACTGCTTAAATAGATTTTTATGAATCATGACAGAAACAGAAGTATCTACAAAAATAAAATAAAATTGTGATATATTTATTGACTACTACATCTTCAAAGCATTGTACAAACAAACTAGAAGATATTGCATTTGAAATGACTACAGAATGTCTGTTCCTTCATATTCATTTGAGCAATTTTTTGGAAGATTGGAACCCAAGATTGTAAACTACTTGGAGAAAGGATTGACATTTTGTCTGCCTATACAGCATCATGCACATATGTGGCATTGTAGAAGTAATAAAACACTATAACATCACTCCCCGCCACCCCACATACTATTAATTGATTTTATTTTTGAAATGAAAACAAAGAAAAAAATAAATAATGACAAAATTTCTGTGTGGTATGGAAAGGAGTTAATCTCTATATTTATAGATGTATAATTTGTAAATCTCATTTCACAACATCTGAAAATAAGGATTCTAGTAACTGTCTGTGATCTGAAAACTTGTGATAGGAAATAGTTTCTGGAATATAGCAATTAAAAAATCAACCTACAAGAGACAGAAAACAAAGCTACAATAGACTGTTTCCATCAAACTTTCTGATATAATGATCACCACATAGTCTTTTCTTTTCCACTCTACAGAAGCATAAAAGCCTGCACACTTCTGTGCAACTCCCATGGACTGCTTCTAATATAAGCAGCAAAAACAGCAGTACTATCCCTAGGAATCAAATGGGGGGAAAAGATTAAAAACTAAGAGCACTTAGTGATTTAATCTATAAAAATTTCCCAATTGTTCAAAACATTAACCTGGAATAACAACCAAAAAACATCTTGTAAAAAAGTCTGATGCCAGCTGGTGTCCAGAAAGTTATAAAAACTAAAATGAAGGACAGAGAGCCACTGACACTCTTGTATGATTACAGGCAACTCAACCTCCCCGTGCTTCACTCAATACAATGGTAAAAAATGCATGCCCTCACTGAATAAAGATCCCACATCAAATGAATATTCCTTCAGGACCAGAAATATCTACTGATTAATAATGAACATGAGCAAACACACTCTTTGCTTAAAGCTTGAGTAGAGGTTCAATATTAAAATTGTCCAAGTGATTGATGCACAATTAGAGGGCCAAATTCTGACTTCAGTGAAGTGACTCAATTTCCACTACTGTGGCTGAGACTGAATGACAGCTCAGTTTCTGTTTTGTGGAAGAGTGACAAGAGTTTACTGGAACCTGGTTCCTTACCACCGTCAAACGTGATGGCACAGTAGATTTGTTGTTATTTCTCAACTATCTCCACTGAAGAATCCAATAAGCTATTGAAATCCAATTTAAATATCATGATCCAATGAAGTTACAGTTCATGTGATTGTAACCTAACTTTAAGTGCTCTGTACAGCATCATATACATTTATAATGCTATATAATAACCAAATCTCCATTCAAATTGCAACTCACAATTTAACTGCCATCAGCAATTTATTTTATTTTATGCACAAAGGAGATTTTAAAAGTTGGTTAAGAGAGACTAAACAGGACGAGATTCTAACTATAAACTCAGTACAGAATTAATAAATGACAAAAGGCTAGTTTGTGAGATATTCTATTCAGTATTACAAATACCAATTGTTATATTATATGATCAGTTTCTTATGCTAGGAAGGAAAAATAACGCAGAATACTAAAGCAAAAGTATCTTTCATTTATACATTCTCTTCCCCCACAACTACCTCATCCCACCCTCTACCCCTCCCCTCCCGACACATACACCTTACCCGACATGCAACACAATCCATTACTTCCAGTCCTGAATATGCAAACTAAACAAAGGCAATCATTTGATATAGTATTAAGGAATGTAATCTTGTTAGGGTTTTGTCTGCCCTTCAGTTTACCTGCTTTACTGTAATCCAGTAGAATTCAGACTAAGGATGAAAAGAAAGCAGTGAAAACGAATGTTTATCTTCTTTGCATAGTTACTCCAATTTAATGCATCACTCTGAATTCTTCTCTCCCTGCGTATAAAATGAACATGTGTACAGCTGTAGAGCCAATAGTTACATACCTGCTACTCTGGTCTGTGGTCCATGTAACTGATCTTCCCTCTGGCTTTGTTTTGTACCATATCCTTATCGCACAAGGAAAGTCTCTTGGTGCTTGAACCTCTGCTTTCCTTATCATCAAGCTCCAAGTGCCAGTGGAAAACAGAAGCTCTCCACAACCAGGCGCCTGGCTGCAGCGGGTGTAATAGTATAGCTGTTCCCTCCAACGATCCGCAGGTAAAGTCACAAGTTCATGTACAATCTGATTCCTAAGATTTCTCAGCTCTTCAGCATCAGTTAGCTTGGCAGACCTTGTAAATTTTTCAATACCTGGCACAGCAGCAACATCTACCTCCTCGACCTTTAACACAGATAAATCACAGCAGTCCAATACCAGCAAAAAATCTTCACTCCCATGATTCTCTATGTCACAGCAGTTCTTTGAACTAGAAATCCCAGAAGCCTGTTCCCCGTTGCTATGGTTACCATTTTTATCAGAAGTATCTTTTTCACCTTTAGCACAGACTGCAAAATCATTATATCCTGTTTTAGATGAGCGGGCACTTACATTTGTCACAGGACTGTGACAAGGTTCAGATGCCCTAATTTTGCATGTTTCATCTGACTGTGAAAGGCACGCTCCTTCCCCAGCACTGCCTCCTTTTTTGCATCTGCTCCCAGGCTCAAAAAAGAGAACTATGGTGCCTTCAATAACTTGGCTTTTAAAATCCACATCTAAGTCCAATACATAATGCTTTACGAGCATGTGGCGTGTGTTGGCCATTAGGGGTAGGTCATCCTTAGCGGGATCTAGCTCCATCTCCATCTTCCAATTTGCTAGGCAACAGCTTTGCAAATTCTCTGTCATTTCTTACACAACATGTTTCCAGGACTTTCAGCCTCCCAGTGGCATAAATAACTGTTGGTTCATATAAGTTAGTGTAGTGAGTTGCAGTTCCACCACTTCTCTCTTACTCTGTAGAAGGGAAAACAATCAAAGAACATTTTAAACAAGTGTTCTGAAATGGATGTATCTAGACGTTAATAAAAATAACTGTGCTGTAATTATTAGAATTTCTATGGTCAAATATTGAATTCCTTTGTTTATACTGAGGTAGTGAGCATATTGCTCAAGAAAAGATTTCAAGATCTGGCAGCTAGAACAGCAGGCAGTCTAATCTACATGACAATCATAGAAGATGTCCAAGTGAACAGATTTCTCAAAATATTAGTTTGTTAACTAAAAGAAATGAGCTTTAATGATACAGCTTCCTTAATGCCACTTTCTTTTCACTGGCAACCCTTTGAAAAATATAAGTTTTTATGCAAGATCAAACTTACTTTATTACAGCATATCTTGTTTTTAAAGATGCTAAACATATCATTTCTATTTTCCTGCCTCAAATTACGGTGATTATTTTTCTACTGTGATTCTAAGTAACAAGTATGAAAGAAGGCTAAATGGCCTCGTATGTTTTATACTTTGAGAGTAATAATTTAATATATACAATGTAACTCCAGGGATTAATGTACTTTTTATATTACAACTGCTTTCATATCAGCACTTCTAGTAAATTACAAGAAAATGAGCCAATTTACCAGGAGTGCATTCTAAGTATTCCTTTGAGATTGCTCATGGAGATTTTTCAAATGTATAGTTAGATACTCAAGGTATATCATTACATCTTAATAGCTGGAAATCCATTAACATTCTGGATAATAGCCTTCTTATGGCAAACAAAAGGTCGTCTCACTGGAAAATATGCAAATACCAATACAAGGAAGAAAAACATAAAATGCATCAACATCTGTAGCAATAAAAGACAGAGGTTCTTCATGAAAGTTTTGAACCAATACATACTTTGTTTTTACAATATAGTGATTGAGACATCATTCAAATTGTACAAAATCATTTAGCTCACTGATGTTTTCTTTGTTGTAACTGAATATTTTCTAGCATGTTCTATTTCTGTTCATTTATTGAATATATAGTAATAAACCTTAGATACAAGAAATTGAAAATCTCAGCTCAAACTCTTAGTGCAGCTTCTCTAGGGTAGGATTGCTCAGAATGAGCTTTGCATTTCTGTGTTCATTCTAGTCTTATTTGTCAAAATCTATTTGGTGGTCGGCTTTGTTTTCATATAAAAGATTACTACTTTACATCTCTATTACTCAGTCTTTTAAAAAATTGAACTAAAACATAAAATATTTTGGGGATTAGAAATTAGAGAAGGTGGGGAAACATTAGGACAGCTAGCCCATTCTGTGCCAATGTAGGAATGCTCTCTATAACATCTGTCTAGTTTATTTTAAATATCTGAAGTGTTGAGGCATCCCTTGGGATATTGTTTTACAGCCTTATATACCTCACTAGTCCAGAACATCTCAGAGAGATTTGTATGTGGATCTCCCACTGTCTGTGCAAAATAGCGGTCAGGATCAGATTCCTCTATTACTCCTTCCCTCTTTTGTGGGAGCCCATGGAGTACTCTCTCTATTAGATTGGTATCTCAGGGGGAAGGCCAAGAAGGGACTACATTGCCCCCACACTACCACCAGGAAGATTATCATATCATTGGGCCTTCTCCCATGGCCAAGGGGTGTTTGGGGGACAGCTAGAGCAAGTGGAAGCCCTGATTGCATGTCTCATGATCCCCTTTAACACAGACCTTTTACCATGCCACAGAACCCAAAGTTAACACACAAGGGCTTTTCCTTTAGAGGATCTAAGTAATTACAAAGAGCTAGGAGGATGGAACGGCAGCTCATTTCACACTGGGTGTAACTACATCTAACCCCATGCTCAGAGAACATTTAGGAGGACACTCAAAATTCCTCACTGAATTTCCTTTCCCAAACTCCCTCCTGCAAGTATTTCCACATGGGAGAAGTTTTCCCTATTTTTCTCTCATTTAATTCCATTACTGCTAGTTACAGTCTCTTGTACCCTCCTCGATTATCACATGCTTCAAATATTTGCAAACAGTTATCATGCTCCACACCATCTTAGTTACCCACTTAGGCAAGCTATCTGTACATTTAGCTCTTTTAGAACTCAAACTTGCATGGAATCCACTAGCACAGACTCTGGAGCCCATGCAGAGTCACAATGAAATAAATGCACCTTTGCACAAGTATAGGGACCTACACGAGTCGATTCCAATGCAAATCTGGCTCGGTACTTTGCCCATTTGCCTTCAACATTTTACCCCGCCCTAGTTTGATCTGCTTAACTAGATACATTACCATTACCATAATACCAAGTATCTTCTATTTAAAAATAAACAGAATGTTAGAGATAGAACAAGAGTATTTAGTCAGTATTGGTAACAAATGCCACAGACACATCCAGCGGGATGAGTATGGAGGATGGTCCTTGTTTATGAACTGTAGGAGAGCTACCAGAGCTGTGACCACTTTCTTTGTACAGTGCCTTGGCTTGAAACCTGACTGCAAATACAAGCATGAAAGACAAACAGTTCTATATGCTATTGTGCCAATACTGATTTTATGATTAATGGACTACACTGCGACTCACATAATCTGGGTTTTGTTCCTGACTCTACCACAAACTTTCTGGATGACATTTCGCAAGTATCTTAATCTCTGTGCCTCAATTCTCCACCTATAATGTGAGAATGATACTACCTAGCTCACAGGGACATTATGATGAACATATTAATACCTGTGAAATTCTCAGATACTATGGTGATAAGCACCATAGAAATCCTACAATAATAAAATGAACATTGTAGTTCAGTGCACACAAACAAAAGGTAACATTTAATTAGAGGATTTATAACTATGTAATTAGTTGTTACATACAGCAAGGTTAGGAGGAACCAAAGCACTGTACCAGTAAAACTCAATTAAAGTATGAGTAAAGTTCATTTGAATGAAAATTAAATCAATTTAAATCATTTTTACAAAAATTATTATTTTAGGACATAAAATTTCAGATTCAAGGCAGTCACGTTTCAATGAAGCAAAGAAAAATGTAGGGATTCGGGTTAAGAGGTTTCTGTTAATTCAGGTTGACATATATGATTATACGTTTCAAAAATCTTATAGTTCTATATATGATCTTATATCAAATTTTAATATTGTTCCTCTTATAAGACTAAGTAAATAAGGTGAATGTGTATTGCTTTTGTCTTGCCCCTCCCCATGACTTGAGCAAGGGTTTGAGCATCTTCCAAAAATTATAAAGTGTGCACATTAAAACTCTCTCTCTCTTCCCCATCCCCATCACCACAGTCTCCATCTTCCTCTCAAGGACTGGCTTTAGTTTATTTGGTATGTATGGGTCTTTGGGTTTTTTAAATATGATGCTATTGTGGGAAGTCTGGTCAAAGAAATAGGTTCTACATTTTGTTCTGAAGATGAGGAGATTCAGAGTCATCCTGATATCTTCCGTGGGTTAGTTCCAGCTACGTGGAGCAATCATGGAGAAAGCACTGTTTTCTGTGCATGACTCTCTCTCGGGGACAGTTTCATTTTTCCAGGGGAATGTGGATGCCATTGGAAGTCCTGATCCCACAGAGTGAGGTGGTCCCTCAAGTAACTTGAGACAACCCTGGGATTCTGATGAGCAGAACTGAAATGTTAAACTTGACCCATTATTTAACTGGGAGATGGTGAAGATAGAGCACTGGAGCTCATGTTAGCTTGTTTTACACAGAGACAGGCTACTACATTTTGAACCAAAGATAGCTTTTTTGCGGGTTTTTGGCCACACCCTGATGTTCAGAGAATTACAACAATCAACTCTCAAGGTCACATATCTGTGGATCACTGAGGTTATGTTCGGCTCTGACAGGAGGTGGTGGTGTCCTCATTCCAGCCATACGTGAAAAGGGCATTTTTTACTTATGTGATTAAGTTACCCAGAAGCCAGGCTATGGACTTCCTTGATAATCTGAGGGCAGACACCCTCATTGTTAAGACAGGGTGACTTCTTTAAAGTGCTTCCCTTTCCCCACCATCACCACCACCACCCACTCAGATATTCAGCTTCTACCAGCTTCTCTTCAACCACCTGCTGCTATCAGCCATCAGACAGGTGCGGAGTGATGCTCTCTGCATCTGATATGAAAGTGATACAGAGCTGTATGCCATCAGCATATTGCTGGCATTTCAGTCCATATTGTCTCAACATGCCTTGGGTGCTTCAGAGAGAGAGAGAGAGAAAGAAAAAGCGGGAGAGAGCTCATGCACACAAGAAAGATGGGGAAAGGAATTTATCCTAGTATGATTCCACATGTAACACCTCTGGAGGTGGAGGAGAAGGTGTCCATCATGACTCTCTAGGTGAAATCTGAGAGGAATGAATGAAGCCACATCAGCACAGTTCTGCTAACCACTGGACAACTCTGAAAACTGATAACAGAATTCCATGTTTGATAATATCAAATACAGCAGAGAGGTCCAGCAATATAAGTAGGAGTATCTGGCTCTTGTCCAGTCATGAGACGATCATCCAATACCAACAGCACCAATGTACTGGCCTGGAGCTTAAATGGGAGGAGTCCAGAACATTAACTGTATATAGGTGGAGTTAGAGTCAAGCTTCAGCAAGCTTCTCAGTTAAATTGCTCAGCAATGGGAAGTTTGAGACCAGTCAGTATTTGGAAATGTTAGCCATGTGGGGGAATGGTTTCTCAGTATTGGCCACAATATGGCACACATTCATGGTAGTTTTTCCTCCTCACCTACAAGGTTCTGATGACCTCAGTTCCTAGAAGATCCCAGTTGCACTGAATACTTTTTCAAGTGTTAAGGGGGACCTGGATCACTAACAGGCAGAGGCTAGATTTTCCTACAGTGCCTCTAGAATTTCCAGATAAAAGAATGGAAAGACTCAGGCAAGAAATGAATTGTCTTATTGTACCTATATGCATTGTACAGTTCCTGGTATCCTGAGAGACTGTCTGAACACAGATGATTTTGCTCTATAATACTTAGTTCATAGGT